TTTTAAATCTGTTTTCATTAACCGTTTCCCTGTCTCCTGATCTCTTTCTATGAATTTACAACAGAAATAAACCTCTCAACTTCAAGAGGGTTTTTACACCTATAGGCCATTTGCTTGAGTCCAAATCAGTTGATGAGTTTCAAGTGAACTAAAAGGCGTCACTGCAAACCACGTGAGAACATTCTGTCTGCTTACTGGCCAGATGTGTACGAGGTCAGAGCAGGAAGAGCTTATACTGGAAGAAGGTGCTGTGTTCTGGACTATTGAACAATATGGAAGATGTACTGCAGACATTCTCTGCTACATCCCAGAATGCAAAGCATACCTGGCTGCAGGAAGGTGTTAAGCTCAAACATGTGTACACCTAGTAGTTGGTTTCCATCACATTCACCCATAAAGTAACCCTTCTGGGGTTCGTTTGGACCCAGACTGCAAAAACCTCCTCTCAGCTGTCACTCTCTGCATAAACCAACTGCACCATGGTGCACAACAGGAACACTTGAAGTGCTCTTTTTCCTTTTGACTGATTTTTAAGTTGTTTTGTGTAGAAAAGTGAGAATTTCCTGGTGCCCAAGGTGACCCACTGTGGGTCAAACAAAACAAGTTAATGATTAAAAAGCAGGGACTGGCACATGTGGGATTTGTGGAGCTCCTGCTGCTGCTCCGTTCTGGTCCTGTGCCGGTGTTTTTGCCCTCTCCATTCCTCGCAATCCTTCCATTTGTGTTATCATCATTTGCTTTTCGCGTGCACGATATCTCATATACTTGTGAGCTCGTGCAGGCACCCCTTTTAACCACTGATACGGACTTGGACATATTTAAAGTGACCAAACTGTTGATTAATTATTCAGTATAATGAATCGTGGTCTTTGCAGCAGCCCGAAGTATCATCTTGAAATTAATAAATCAAAGCAAAACAGATGATTTTTCTAATAAATTTAAATGAATGTAAAATGCACACTGGTTCACGTTTTCTTGATGATTGCTGCCCTTGAACAGAAGTCAAACATTTGAATAAAAATAACCCTCTTCTATAAAGAAAATAAAGGCCAGATGCACATCCAGTGACAGGGCGTTCAAAGGAAAGTCAGATTTACACAATAAATGTTAATGATAAACCAAAAACAAACAGACCACAAAGTACACAAACACTGCACTGCCTGCTATGGAACAAAGTTTTGCTGTATAGCTACTCTGACAATAAAGTCTTATCTCCCGAAGGCCAGATTTACATCAATGGTTTATTCATCAGAGGGTCACTATCATTAAAGTAAAGGCTTCAGATCATCAGCTAGCAGGTAATAATAGATCAGCACGCTTTTATTCTGACTGTATGGTGGCAGAGCATGACAAACTGGTCTTACATAGTCCTGATACTCCCAAAATGTTCTTTCACTCAACCTCAATCTTTCCATCAGGCTGCAGATTAATAAATGCTATCTACCTGCTATCTTGCTAGCAAATACAGAGGCTAGCATCATGTGAACTTTAAGTGCTGCCAATGATCCTGATGACCCTTTTGATGGATTCTCTAAGGGCGTTTTCACACCTACAGTTAATTTACTGTGGTCTGAATCAGAAAAGAAAAAACTCCAAGTGAGCAAAAACACATCACTACAAACCTCGTGATTTCGGACAGTTAGTTAGCTCATTGGTCGGAAGCACAACAAAAGCAAAAACAGGAAGAAAGCAGTGTGGCCTGGTGGATAACGCAGAGAATTCTCATTAATTTTACAGCCAGTTGCAAGCCCATAGTGACCGTGCATGTACATTTATGTACTCAGGACTTTTTTATTACCTCAGAAGTTAGCATGCTAGCTTCTATGCAAAGACGATATACCAAGTTCTCACTGAGAGATTTCTAAAATCTAATACTTTAGACTTGAATAAAAGACAGAAAACTGAACAGCAGCAACTTTGGAGGGTTTTTGAGGTTGGGCTAGGTGCCATTTAATTGTGTGGTACTTGGTGGCTAGCTACAGAGCTAGTTAGGATAATATAAACACATTAGCACAGGGGTAGGGAATGTTAGTCCTCGAGAGCTGGTGTCCTGCAGGTTTTAGATCTCACCCTGGGTCACCACACCTGACTCAAATGATTAGGTCATAACCAGGCTTCTGGAGAACTTCAAGAGATGTTGAGGAGCTAATTTAGCCATTTAAATCAGCTGTGTTGGATCAAGGACACATCTAAAAGCTGCAGGACACCGGCTCTCGAGGCCTGTAGTTCCCTACCCCTGCATTTAGCAGAATGAAGATGGAGGATGAACATTAAATTTGTTCCCCTCAGTAAAAGTCAATTTGAAGGTCCCTGACAGCCAGCCACAAATTAAATCACATGGCAGGAAAAAGACGCCAAAAACTGAGCCAACTTCAATCAAAAGAACGGTCGAGATGATCCATCCACAACATGAGGTTAGTCATCAATATGCTACTGCGTGGTCTGGATGACTCACTATGAAAAATTCCAGATCCTAAGCTTCGTATATCCAATCAAAATCTTGATTCTTTTCTGAAGGGTTCAAATATTTGGTGCCTGTCACATCGCGAGCCGGGCTGTAGTTACATGGTGGGGTTTAAAACCATGACCTTAAAGATGCGCTGTGCATGAACAGGTAAAGTTGAAAAAACAGAAAGGCCGAGAAAAACCACAGATTATTTTTAGAGACTTGTTTATATTAAATAAAACACGATAAAAGCCTCAAGTAACGCAGTAGGAGCCTGGACACAGAAGCACGGTTGACACCTCATCACTTAACAAGTAGGCGGTACCCTGCCACGTCCCAGAATGCAAAGGTGTTTAAATTATACTTGTACGCCTCAGTCCACAGCTTAGTGCAACTCCCGTGTTCACACCTGCACATACAAACCACACAGAGGGGGAAGAAAGAACCTGAATTCGATTTAAACGAACTGAACTTCAAAGGTGTGAAAACACCCAAAGAAAGTGGAAAATTTCACTGAACCTACACAGACTAAATTCCACTGTTGACTATAACATGACTAACACAATTATAAGAAACCTAAATCAATGTTTTTTTTTAAAAAATGTACTGATTTCACAATCGGTGGATGTCGGATATGCAGGTCGTCTATGACTCAGCAGCCCTACATTCACTGCCTCGTACAGTACGTCAGCCTTTATACGCTGAAGGCTTCTCATGTTGGTTTAAGCCTTTTCCCCTTCTTATTCTGGTCATTTTAGTGCTGTACCTCTTTGTTCTGTTATCTTATTGGCCTTTTAGTGATTTCTCTGCTCGTACACTTCAACACGTCCACGTAAAAGAGACACATTACCTGTGCCAGCTATTTTCTACACTGTAATGTAAACATGAGTTGTTCTCATGTTTGTGTCCTGATCCTGCAGCACAAAGCAAACTAGACCTGGGGCGAATGGTATTTGCATGCACTTTAAATGTCTGGGTTTGTGTAATAAGCTGCCAGTGGGTGGAGTCAGCCACTAAAGGCAAGCAAATGGGCTAATACAAACCACTGAGTGTAAATCACCAGCCAAGGCGTGGTGACTCGATCCTGCCTCACTCCACCAGTCTCCACGCTAATTTTTAGGGACATAATTTTACTCAACAAAGAAAATACTTTGAAAAGTTAAATGAGCTTTTAGGGGTGGAGCTCACACACCTGAACATTTTGCACCTTGCTGCAATCAATGGCTTTCTTTATCAACAAATCTGTGGAATAATTTGGACAAAACTGCAAGTTGAAGGAATCTTGAAAGTGACTTAAGAGTCAACAACAACAAATCACCACCAGGGGGCGACTTGTCTGGTTCTGAGAAACATTTTTGGTTGTCTAGGGGGAAGAAAAATCCCTTGCTTTCCTTTATTTGTGACTTTCATGATGGGTTTATGGTCTCAGTTGTGAGGTTTAGGTCATATTGAATCATTTATAGTCACTTTTAAAGTAAGAAAATGCTCATCGGAAAGCTACTTGTCAGTCACACACCATTAACCAATGAGCGTGCAGTGCTGATGAGTTTCACATTCAGAGCCAAGATGGCGACAACTGGAGGCTTTCCAAGGAAACTTCCATAACCACTGGATGATGTCACAGCGGGCCCCATCCATCTTTTATACTCTCTATAATAATCTAAACGCCATCACTGACATATAACAGCTGTACACGAGGGCACGGACCCAGAAACAAAGTCTCCATTGACCCTGGGTTCACTGAGCCAGCGTGTTAGATGTGCAAACACAGCCCAAGGCCATGTACATGAGTGAGTGTGTGTGTGTGTGGGCACCACATCGACACCACTCCTCTTGCAACCTCCTCCTGCTCCTCTACCTGTCTGCTCCAACTCAAGCTCAATAACAACAGTTTTCAACACTCTCATTCAGTTCACCTGAACATGACCAAAGGGCTCAGGGTGTTATGGAAATTTTTAGCCTGGCTTACATCCACCGAAGCATGCTTTAAATTTGAATTACAAACACTGTAGTTAAACTTCTTACACCCACATGCCAGGAAAAGACAGACAAGAATAATTATAATAATAAAAATAGTTATTATTATAAAGATTTTTCATAAATGGTAAGGGCTAGATTGGGAAAATAGCTTATAAAAAAAAATTATATGACATACATATATTTCCATTAGTTGTTTTAGCGCAGTAGGTTAAAGAGTCCTACGTGCAGCAGGTGCACTCACACCTCCACTGTCACTGTAAAAAATGCCTCAAATTGTAGCTATGCTAATCAAAATACTCTAAAACCATGTGTGTGTTTTAAACATTAAAGTTTGTTTTGCTGTGGCACAGCACGACTGTAACACACTTTATTTTATCTGTGCCTGTGTTCTGTCTGCTGTGGACACTTGCGCCATATGGCTGACATCACAGCACCGGTCCACCTGTTGACGGTGAACAACCGTCAAACAGCACTTTAATAACATCTCAGCAACTCTTTTCAAATTCAGCTTTTTCAAACTCACTGTAAGCAGCAAACGAAGATTAGCAATAAAACAAACACTGTTTCAACCTACCTGTCTTGGTGAGCGAAGGTGTGGCACTTTGCCCCAGGTAATCAAAAATGCACGGATGTCATTTATCTAGCTTCTCTTCCGGTCCTTTTTTTTTTTTTTTAAGTCACTGAGTTAAAGTTAAAAACTCAGGTAAGAAAATTAAGAGTCCGGACGACATGGTGAGCCACAGCTGCTTTCCTTAGTTTGGTTTGTTGTGTTGAGTCGCTGAAGAGTTTCCCCCTCGGTGACTCCTCAGTCCCATGTCTCCGGTGCGGGCAGGAGCGCGCTGATGGGGAGTTACTCCGGGAAACTAGTGGACCAAAGCGGAGCTACTTCCTGTTACACCCTTCACAGTAAAAGCTACAAAGCACCCTTCTTCTTTGCTAACTTGATTTAAATTTTATTTAACTTATTATAACAAAAAGACATAAAAGAGCTGCAACTATCTGCATATATAATGTTGAGTGATTGTATCCCACCTCATTAATTTACGTTCAGCTTCTTATAGCGTCTTTTTTTAAAAACCTTTTTATCAGCTTTATTTTTATAGTTAATTCGGCTTCTTATATTTTGTAGTTTTTACCTTAGAGAGGTGTATATTGTATTTTATTTTATTGAGGTGTTAAATCTTGTAAAACCTATTTTCTTATTGGTAATTTTAGAGTATTTGTCATAATTGATGGATTACAAGAAAATGACATGAGATTTCCTAACATTTCGATTAAAAAAAAGTATTGTTATATTGTTTTTAATATATCTATAAATTGGCATAGTGATTTCTTTCAGTGTCTTTTTTTAGCATTAATTTCCCTCCCTTGTTTTTGATTTAAATATCTATTTGCATGCCTGCCTTTGCATTTTTTACACACTCTGACGTCAGTTTTTGAACATGCCCATAAAAGCAGTATTTGACCCCTGAAACAGTGTATCAAGATCAAAACTTTTAAAATGAGAACACATAAATAAATTTTAGTAATGATATATACACTATATACATGTATAATGTTTTGTGGATTGCGAATTTGTTGCAAAATAACATATTTTCAAAATTGGAAATACATTTTCTTCTATTTTCCTTCTTCTTAATCCTCTCTTTCTTATCATTACAAGAATTATTTGCTTTAAGAGATCACAATCATGAACATATTGTAGTGATGAAGGCTATGCACTTCTGTTAAAAAGCACAGCATCACTGTAATTCAGATTAGTACCAGATAAAAGTCACCTCTAACAGGCATATTGATATCTGGCACAGTGGCTTAAGTTTGTATGAAGCTTTAATGAAGTGGGTCTAATCTGTGGGTGAAGGAATTAAAACTGAGTGGAATGAACGTCATTTACGTTTAATGTGACTTCCTGTCTTGACCACCTAACCCACGTCCAGCTTGACAAGCCACCACCTGACCACAGTTGATCATCTGACTTGGAAGTGATTAGAGTTGAGACTCCCTCTCCCCTTAAAGCAGCCTGGCATCCATCCAGAAAAGAAAGAAAAAGGAAGAAGTGCACTTCCTGGATGAGTTTGGCTTAAAAGTAACTCTCACATTACTTATTATTGTGCAAATGAATGAAATCTTAACTTTTTTTAGAGGAAATCTCAGGAAAATAACAACAAGAATGTATATGTGTGTTGGTCTAGATCCTTAAGCGACACTCTTATTAAATATTGATTTATTAGCAGGATGGACGAGCAACTTTTTACGGGACAAATTACTTTCCTAATAATGACATGCAACTAAAAAAGACAGTAATGTAATAACAGGAAGAAAGTGTCTTTTGGGTGTTCTCCTTTAATTGTGGAACAAGGCTTAAGTGGCATCAATGTATCTGTGTGTGTGTGTGTGTGTGTGTGTGTGTGTGTGTGTGTGTGTGTGTGTGTGTGTGTGCTTTTGGAAAAGAAAAACTTAAACTACAGTGGAGGCATTTTTCCACTCTGGCAGCTTTTGACAGGATGACATCTAACATTCCGGTAAAGAGACAAAACATGACAACAATGTTACGCATTGGATGCAAAGTAGTCCCCTCCTAGACATGTTCAAAGATAGAGCCTGTGGTGCCGCATAAATACTTTCAGTCTGTTTTCACTCCACTGCTTCCTTCTTGTTTTCTATGTTTAACTTTCATTCTTGAGCAGAATGAAGGTTTCATGCAGACGAAGGATGGACGGACACTTTAAGTCGCTGAAAAAATACAAGTCGATAGTTTAAAGAATTTGGGGACATGAGTTCATTCATTATGTTGTATGGATCAGATGTATCTGCTAAATATGAAGCTGAACCGTAAAGAACTTCTTGTCATGTTTACACCTTTTTATTTCTTTACAAATTGATGCAGGCCGATTAATATCATTGCTGTGCTTCTTCTGTGTTGTTTTTTGTCACAGGGTTCTGGGAGACACTTTGGACACTTTGATAGATACCCTTGTTCAACTGCTTGTTAATGCAAATGTCTAATCAGCCAAACACGTAGCAATAAGTCGGTGCTTTTAGGCATCTACACATGGTCAAGATGACGTGCTGAAGTTCAAACCGAGCATCAGAATTGGTGATTTAAGTTGCTTTATTAGTGCAAGTGTTCCAAAAACTGGTGATCTTCTGGCATTTTCCCACCCAACCATCTCTGTTTATAGAGAATGAGGGGCGGTTCTCTGGGAGAAAATACCTTGTTGATGTCAGAGGTCAGAGCAGAACGGCCAGATTGCTTTGAGCTGATAGGAATGAGACGGTCGAATAACCACTCCTATGCAGAAGAGCATCTGTGAATGCACAATATGTTGAACTCTGAAGCTGATTGGTTACAAAAAGCAGAAGACCACACGCTGCTCCTGTTAGCTAGGGAGAGAAAACTTGAAGATACAGTTTGCACAGATTCAGCAAAATTGGACAACAGAAGTTTAGAAAAATGTCGCCTGGTCTGTTGAGTCTCAATTTCTGCTGCAACATCCGGGTAGAGTAAAGATTTGGCAACATGAAAGCATGGATCCATTCTGACTTGTATTAATGGTTCAGGCTGCTCGTGGTGTAAGGGTGTAGCCATGTTGTGATGGCTGCTGCCAGCAGGATAGCACGCTAAGTCAAAAAAGTCAAACTGGTTTCTTAAACAGGACAAAGAGTTCTCTGTACTTAAGTAACCTCCACAGTCACCAGATCCAACAGAGCATGTTTGTGCTGGGCTCGCTGTTTGCAGACGGGAAGACTGGCATTAAAGATGATGCTATCATGTCAACGTGGACCAAAATCCCTGAACGTTTCCAGCATCTTGTTGAATCTATGCCACAAAGAATGAAGGTAGTCCTGAAGGAAAAAGGTTCTAACCCACTACTACCAAGGTGCACCTAAGACATGTATTTCTCTCAACTTTCAAATACTTTACGTAACATTTAAATGCCTATATTCTCACAGCAAGATTTTGTTTTAACCTAAAAAAAATACTTATATTTCATCGCGTTTTGTTTCAACTCTATAGCAGCTAAGAAAATAGCTCATGCCAAGCTTTTGAAACTGTTCCACCACCTTTAGTATCTGCGTAAAAAGCTACTAAATGTGGTCCGATGTTTTTCTCTCCTGCTGTTTCCAAGGTCAAGGATTCAGCTTTGGGCTTTCTAAAGGCAAACATTCATGGTTTCAGAAACCCCGACTTTGTGGTCTTGACCTTTTCTCCTGCCACAACAACAACACTTATTAAAGCTTAGTCACTTCTGCAGTTTCAGAAAGCTTTGATCCCATGTCACACTGTTGAATATCCTCATTGTCGGGCGTGACGTGTCAGTCTGCAGAAACGTACATGGACTTTGACATGAACTGAGTCACGGCTAGACCAGCGTTTGCCTCCTAAATTTTGTCACTGATCCGATCGATATAAAGCAAGAAAACAGAAGAAAAATAAGAACAATTAGTAAATCAAGGTCGCTGTCCACCCCATATAATGTCTGACTTTCTCTTCTGTGATCACATCAACTCTCCCCTAAATGCTGCAGCGCACGGCAGACACTGTAATCTCTTTAACCTGTCACGAGCAAACAGCTCCTCGAACATCTCCCATTTCCAGCTGTTCACCTGGAATGGAAACAGAGGTGCAGACTCGGACAGGAGCGCCTTCCTCACACGTCTCTGCTCCCGGCGTGCTTCAGAGGATCTAGGTCAGGGCTTGTTGGTAGTTGTAACTGAGGTTTGGCGCTTCTGCAACGGGCTGATGAGAGGAGAGAATACGAGATAATGAGAGATGAGCGGTCGTGCTCCATTGATGGGATTCATCGTAACTCTCCTCGCAGATACAATATTTGCCTGCAACTGGCACAAGATTGATGTGATCTCCCTGTGCAAACACCCCGTATTTGGCGAAAAGCTTTTAGTTAGGCAAATACAAAGCGTCTTACAACCATAGGATTCAGGGTTTTTTTCTCTCTTTTCTTTTTAAGCAGTTTGCTTAAATTTCAGGTGCCCGTGGGGTTAAAGTGTTTAGTTGTGGCTGGTTTATCTGGTGTGCCACAGTGTACTTGTAGGGAGGGGGAGAGAGGAAGATATGGGTGAGTCAACAGGCTTTCCCATCACAGGAAATACAGGTCACACTTGAAAAAATACAAGGATGACAAAAAGGACGGCTCAATGCTGCTGACAGTGAAGTGGCTATTTATAGGGCTGGGTAAATAAAAGGTAATGACAAACTGTACCTATTGTAGGACACACATGCATGCACGCGCACACATCGGTGCACCATGTGACCTGCAGAGACCTCCCATTGAACAAACAAAGTGGTGTAATTACAGGCCTGTGTGGCTCTGCAGGTGGAATGTGCTAGCGATAGTCAAGCCCTTGTTGTCCTAATGACTGGAAGCAGCCCCAACAGCCAACAGACATGAGCTCACCGTCATTACAATAGGAGGCGTGGCCAAGCCTGTGACTGCTGTGGACCTGATGTTGCTGTGGAGACAGGACACACACACACACGGTCACACACACGGATCTGCTTAGAGTTAGACCACTGGGAAATTAAAATGGTAGCCCAAAGCAACAGGATTTTATTGGCTAATCACGGGTTGATCCTGGATGTGTTTACGGTGCAGGTTTGTGTGTCTCGGCGAGCGTGTGCAAGTGCAGGGCAGCGTACAGGTGCACCGCACACGCATCGCCTAATTACAATGACAACGTCAGCCGGCGTTGGAGAGATATTCGCCACGCTTGTCTGGCATTGGGCATCTTGTGCAGAAGAGCAATTACTGACCAATCAAATGATTTTACAGCTCGGTTCAGTGTGTGTGTGTGTTTAAGGCTGTCAGCTCTGTCAATGTTTTCTGGCTCTCCGGGGGGAAAAAAACAAACCTTCATGAATTTTCTGTTTCACAGCATGCTCTGCAACT